GCCCCCTCCCACCCGCCTGCGCCCGCTGGGGGCCGTTGCGCTCGCTCTTTGGGCGCCCGGGGCGCTGTGGCGCTCGCTTCTGGTCGCAGGCCACCTGCCAATCAGGGCCGGGGGAGGGGAGGCGGACAGGGACCAGAGCGCGAGTGCCACCTGGAGGGACCCCAGCCCCCACCCTGGCTCGCCGGGGCTCCGGACTTGCTCATCCCTCGCGGTGCCGAGAGACAGCCGTTCTGTCGCTTCCACTCTGTTACTGCCTGTCCCCGTGTCTGTCCCTGCTCCGGCCGCCTGTCTGTCTCCTCCCGTCTGGGCACCGCCCTCACCCGGCACCCTTGGAACGAGCGGTACGGAGCCGGCGGCCGCCCCCGGGGCTTGGACTTCCAGGGACTCCGGGAGCCGGCTCTTTCGCTGGCTCTTCCAAGAGCGGCCGGGAATGGAGTGTGGGAAGGGTACAAGCAACTGGAGGGCCTGGCGGGGGGGAGGGAGGAAGTCCCGGACCAGGCTGGGCTGCGCGCTCGGCGCGTGTCGGGGATCGAGTCCTTCGGAGCCGGTGAAGGCCCCGTGGGAGCGCCGCGAACTGCGAAGGAAGCCGGCGGCCCGGGCCGTGAAGGTGCACCCTTCACGGGAGAGGCCGCACCCTGAGCCCAGTGCCAGCTCCCCACACCCACGGACAGGTAGCAGGGCGCTGGGACCTGGGGACAGTCACATCGCTCCGTGATTTGATTCCTTAACGGGAACGTTCTTTGTCTTAGGCAGGGTCTCCAAGCTAGAGGACCCCGGCCGGCCCTGTGGAAGGCTCTCCTCCCCCACCTGCTAGCCCCCCCCCCCACTGTGCCCATTAAGGGCTGATGGGGGCAGGGCTGCCCAGAGAGATGGCCCTCACTTAGGTGTGAAGATCTCTGTCCTTTGTGGCACCTGAAGAGCCCCCACCTCCCGGCAGGCCCCGCCCATTCACAGCTGCAGGGGCCTGGAGCCCACCCCACCTCCTGCTGCCACCAGCACCTGTGACCAGAGACGGCCTAAGACCAGATCGCCTCCAGAGAGTCCTTGGGCTCCGAGGCTGAGTCACACCACTGGGGGGAGGGGGAGGGGGAGACTGGGAGATTTGAGGTCTCTGCCCTGAGGGTGAGGAGCACTCAGGGGTCAGTGGCCTTGGCAGGACCAGAACCCTGCCCCTGGATCTCTTAACTTCTTTGCTCCCCTCAGTGGGCAGCTGCTGGGCTTGGCCCTCCCTGGTGGACTTCAAGGAGTGAGTGCCGGGAACACTATCCTGGTGGGGGTGAGGGCAGGAGACCTAGGGCCAGCCTGGGGCTGTGTGGCCTTGGGCAAGTCTCTTTCCGTCTCTGGGCCTCTCCATTGGAGAAAGGGTGCCTTCTCTGGCCTGGAGACCCTCTTGCCAGCCGCCCTGGGCCGAGGCCCCGAGGTGCCACTCTCAGCTCCTGGTAAAGTCTGGTCCCTCTTTCTCAGGACCCCATGGGAGCTTTTTTGGGGAGTCCCCTCTGTCTCTCCTGGCCTTTGTCCTCCTGTCTCTCCTGGCACCTACTTGTAGATGCTCTTGGCCATTGGCCTTTGAAGGACTGTCCAAAACCAAAAAAACCAAACTCACTGCCATGGAGTCAGACCCGACTCATAGCAACCCCTCCTTGGGTTTCTTAGGCAGTATCACTATGGAAGTAGATTGCCCAGTCTTCCTTCTGAGGAGTGGCTGGTGGGTTTGAACTGCCAGGCTTCTGGTTAGCAGTCAAGTGCCTTAGGGACTATGCCACCTGCTCTCCTTTACGGTCTCTTAATTGTAGTACATCCTGGGAAACCCAGTGCAGCCAGAGCCTGGGGTTCAAGGAAGCCTTTTGAGGTTGTGTGTTCTGCCACTACCTGCTTTGGGCTCAAACCCAGGCTGCACCTCTCTGAAGATTTGTTGCCTGACCTGGCTCTCTCTGAGATCATCCTCAGCTTCTCCGTCTGCAAAATGACTGTAAGAGGAACCACCTTCAAGGGTGCTGTCAGCCTGAAGGAACCAGGGCCTGGCCCGAACAACGTGGCTGAGCAAGCTTGGCCCTCTAGGCTGCAAGATCCGTGAGCGTGGTACAGACAGGGTGCTCGTGGAAGAAATCAACCTTGTTCGTGTCCCAGGGCTGGTCCGCCAGACACCACCAGCCGTGAGCAGAAGGACAGATGAGACCAGTGGAGACCACCGAGGCCCTCACTGCCCCTGCCCCCAGCCTTCCTGATATGGACCTGAAAGAGCCACACCGTCCTGTCTTTACCAAATGCTTTCTTCCAGGAGCGAGAGACAGGCTTGCCAGCCCCACCAGCTCAGCTGTTCAGAACTTGCTTTGCTAAATAGAAGTGAGAGCAACAGCACTGCTGTGGGCCTTCATCAACATCATCAGAAGCTTCGTGCAAACGCAAGGCCTCCCGCAGCACGTGGCCGTTCAGACGGGACAAGGCGGCCACACGGGATGAAGAGCCCCGCGGCCGTCTCAATTCAGCTTCCACCTCTCGGCCTCAGAGAGCAGAGCAGGAAACCCTCACCCTGGGTAAGGCTGCAAAAGTCAAGGAGAGTGGCACCGCTGGTGCAAAGACCACTCCAGGTACCCCAGAAACGGTGACCCAGTTTTCTTCAAGACCTCAGCCAATTCGCTTCATTTTACAAACCATTTTATTGATGTGTAAGGCACACGCTGTGCAATTGACCCACTTAGAGTTGTAACTCAGTAGTTTTCAGCATAGTCACAGATACGTGCCACCGTCACCAAAGTCAGTTTGACACAAAAGAAATCCTGGACCCTTTACCTCACTCTCTCCCCCTGCCAGTAACCAGTCAGGCTGACTCCTGGCGGGCCCATAGGGTTTTCAATGGCTGAGTGTCTGGAATCGATTGCCAGGGCTTGCTTTTGACGCACCTTGGAGTGGACTCAAAGTTCCCCCCTTTCTTTTAGCAGCCGAGCGCTTAACTGCGTGCCATACCCAGGGACTGCCTGGGCAGCCAGGAGCCACCAGGAATCTCCCTTCTGTCTCTCAGTTGCCCTGTTCTGGACATCCCACGGGCGTGAAATCAGACCACGTGTGGTCTTGTGGGTCTGGCTTCTTTCACTCAACCCCGTGTGTTCAGGGTCCGTCCGTGTCACAGCAGGTACCAGGACCAGGACTTGGTTTCTCTTTGTGGCTGAGTTGTACCCATTGCATGGGTGGGCCACATCGTGTGTGTCTGTCCATCTGCCGACAGACACTGGGCTGTTTCCTCTTGGGAATAGTGCTGCCGGGAATGTTTGTGGGCAAATGTTCGTTTGAGCCCTTGGTTTCAAGTCCTTTGAGTGTCCACCTGGGAGCAGAGTTGCTGGGTCTTATGGTAGTTCCGTACGGAGCCATTGGAGGAAACGCCAGGCTGTTCTGCACAGTAGCGGCCCCACGGCTCGTGTCTACCAACAATGCACACCAGTATTTCTCACATCCTTGCCAACACTTGTTACTGTCTGGCTTTTTCATTATAGCCATCCAAGTGAATGTGAAGTGTGTGCATTTTAAATATCCATTCTTAAAGGCAGAGGTCCCTGGTGGAGCCAACAGTTAAGTCCTCCTTTACCAGCGTCAAGGTTGGTGGTTCGAACCCATCCAGAGGAACCTTGGAGGACAGACCTGGTGACCAGCTTCTGAGAGCTTAAAACCAAAAACCAAACCCACTGCCATTGAGTCGAATCCAGGGGTTTTCCAAGACAATAAATCTTTATGTATTAGACAGTGTTTCTCTGCTATTCATAAGGTTTTCCCTGGCCAATTCTTTGAGAAGTGGATGGCCTCCTCCTTCTTCCTAGTCTGTCTCAGTCTGTAAGCCGGGCTGATACCCATGCAACAGGTGCACCCCACTGGGTTTGAAACATCAGTGGCACAGCCTCAAGACTCACAGCAACAAACGGATGCCGCACTGGAGGCACCCACTCAGTTATGCCAAGAGATTTGGAGGACAGCTACCTGGCCAACTGACTGGAAGAGAGCCATATTTGTGCCCATTTCAAAGAAAGGTGATCCCACAGAATGTGGAAATTATCAAACAATATCATTAATATCACATGCAAGTAAGATCTTACTGAAAATAATTCAAAAACGGTTGCAGCAATATATTGACAGATTCAGAAGAGGATGTTCAGAGGATATTCAGAGGGATATCATAGCTGCTGTCAGATGGATCTGGGCTCAAGGCAAAGAAGACCAGAAAGATGTTTACTTGTGCTTTATTGACTACGCAGGGAGCTCTGGTAGCACAGTGCCTAAGGCACTTGAGTGCTAACCAGAAGGCTGGTGGTTCAAACCCACCAGCCACTCCTCGGAAGGAAGATGGGGCAATCTACTTCCGTAATGATACTGCCTCGGAAACCCAAGAAGGGGTCGCTATGAGTCGGGTCTGACTCAATGGCACATAACAACAACAACAACATTGACTATGCAAAGGCATTTGATTGTGTAGATCATGACAAATTATGGATAACGTTGAGAAGAATGGGAATTCCCAAACACTTGATTGTACTCATGAGGAACCTGTACCTTGACCAGGAGGCTGTCGTTCGAATGGAACAAGGGGACACTGCATGGTTTAAAATCAGGAAGGGAGTGCATCAGGGTTGTATCCTTTCCCTATACTTATTCAATCTATATGCTGAGCAAATAATCTGAGAAGCTGGACTATATGAAGAAAAATGTGGCATCGGGATTGGAGGAAGACTCATTAAAAACCTGAGATATGTTGATGATACAACTTTGTTTGCTGAAAGTGAGGATGACTTGAGGTACTTACTGATGAAGATTAAGGAACACAGTCTGCAGTATGGATTACATCTCAATATAAAGAAGACAAAAATCCTCACAACTGGGCCAATGAGCAGCATCACAATAAATGGAGAGAAGATTGAGGTTGTCAAAGAATTCACGTTGCTTGGTTCTACAATCGATGCCAACGGAAGCAGCAGTCAGGACATTAGACGACGTGTAGCATTGGGAAAGTCAACTGTGAAGGAACTGTATCAAGTGCTGAGGAGCAAGGACATCTCCTTGAGGACTAAGGTGCGCCTGACACAAGCCATGATATTTCCAATCACCTCATATGCACGTGAGAGCTGGACAATGAATAAGGAAGACTGAAGAAGAGTTGATGCTTTTGAGTTGTGGTGCTGGCGAAGAATGCTGAAAGTACCACGGACTGCTAAAAGAACTAACAGATCTGTCCTGGAGGAAGTGCAGCCAGAATGCTCCTTGGAAGCAAGAATGGCCAGACTTCGTCTCACCTACTTTGGTCATGTTGTCAGAGGGACCATTCCCTGGAGAAGGATGTCATGCTTGGTAGGTGGAGGGTCGATGAAGGAGGGGAAGACCTTCAACGAGATGAATTGACATGGTGGCTGCCACAATGGGCTGAAATATAGCAAGGATCGTGGAGCTGGCGCGGGATCAGGCGGTGTTTCGTTCTGCTGTGCATGGGGTCGCTATGAGTCGGAAATGACTCAACGGCACCTAACAACAACAACAACAATAAATCTTTATGGAAGTAGATTGCCCCATCTTCCTTCTGCAGAGTGGCTGGTAGATTTGAACTGCCAACCTTCTGATTAGCAGCCCAATACCTTAAGTATGTGCCACCAGAGCTCCTTCTGAAAGCTTACAGCCCTGAGAACCCTACAAGCAGTTCTGCTCCACACATGAG